AGTTTGAAAAATTTCTGTTGAAATGAATAAAACACAACTATCGTTTATAACTTTCTAATTGTTCTTTGTCGGAAGAACTGCAAGTTTTTTGGAGTAAAAATTATCATATTCTAATTACTTTTTTTAAGTTTCAACATAATTTTTTGCGAATATTTAAAAAACTTATATCAATTAGACGAATTTTTGGTTGACATTTCTTTGGTATTCTCTAAACTTACCAACAAATTTAATGCTTCAAATGTGTTCCGCAGACAATGCTTCTGCTTAACCATAAATTGTCTCTTACCTTTACAACATTTTCCAAATGAACCCTCAAAACGTTTCCTTGGTCTTAGACTTTTTAGCTCGGTACGAACTTGATCCGATAAATTCTCAAAAATTTGTTTCATCTTTTGTCGTCGTTCTGCATATGTCATCGTTTCGTTCTGTAAAAATGACTACAGATGTAAAAAAAAAGCTATTACCAGTCGAAGCTAACCACCACAGATAGATGCATAAGGTTATTTATCCAATGTGTACAAGATAATACATACTTTGAATAGATTGATAATTTTTGCATCAGCTTCTTGCGCTTCTTGAGATAGTCTACTAATCGCTTCTTTGTGTTCCTGTTCCATCCTCTCTTTACGTTCCTTCATCGTTTTTTTAAATATCTCAAACCCAGCCTAAGATGGAAAATTCATGACACTTCTTCAACAACCAACACTGATTAAATTTTGCTTTACAAAAACTCAGAGCAAACATTACAATTTTTTAAAACCAGTATTTTTCATCAAAAGTAAAAATCAACATCTTGTAAAAACGAAAGAAAAGAAGTGTTTTTTTTTTTTTTTTTGATGCAGGGGAAGGGAAGCTGATAAGTGATTTTATATGAGGTTACAGACTAGAGAATAGTGGATAGAACAGTGATAAAACTCTAACTATAAAAGATGTCAATAGATGCGAAAACGGTTTAAAAATGCTGATTGCAGTAGTTAAAACGCAGTTTGCTCTTGATAACATATTGCATAAGTTTTGTAGAAATACTTTATCCAAAATTATCCACTGTTTTCAAATCAAATTAAAAACGCACCTTAACATTCTCGCTTTCTTGCTCCATCAATCGATCAATTTTGGTCTTTTTTTCTGACAACGTTAGTGACCTGTTGAAAAAAATCTCACGAAAACTTTTTCTGGTCTCAACTGAGGCGTTCTTCAAGAAAGGCGGTAACCTAAATTGGAAACATTTGCTGCAGAATGACAGATATTAACTAAATATAACTGGGAAATGTTTTATAATTATAACGCTCAAAAATTTTTTATACTGCTACTCGAATCAACCTTCAAAAAACTCACGACGAAAAATCAAAGAGAGTTCAAAATAAAATTCTGTTTGATTGTTTTTTTTCTGGTTTAGTTTGCTTAGTATAAAGATGTTTTCTTCGTAGACAAATAAGCAGAAAGAACAATCAGTAATCTAATATGTCAACATTTCATAAAATGTTTACTGCTAGTACAGCAACTAGTAAACTGTCACTTTAGTACAAATCATACAAAAAAAAAGAAAAAATAACGTATAGCAGTTGTTAAATATTACAAATACCTGTAAGGTCGATTATTAATGAAATGTTGTCTAAACCCAAAAATTCTAAACGGTGCATCTCGATCAGCTGTTAACGATCCACTGGATGTATCATTATCCAGAGGCATTGACAAACCTTCCGAAGGACTGTCGAAGTATTGACATTGTACCACACCGATGATAAAAAGTATAGGTATTGTATACATCTAAAGCTTGTAAACTGTAACAGTTGAAGAGCGTCAAAGGCAGTGCTTCGACGTATAAATACTTCAAAAACTCAAAAACTATCGTTTTTCCAACAATTTCCCCTTATCTTTACAGAGACTATCCTATGCTGTAACAGTAGTATCCTAAGTTGAATACAGAGATCACGCTTTTTAGAAATACAGTTCTACTTTTATTTGAGAATTACGATTGCAAAAAAATACTTAATATATTTTTTGATAAAAATTGTTGTGAAGTGATAGTATTTTAACCCGCTAGTAAAGATTAAGCAGATTCAGTCAAAGAGAGAAGAGCGAACAATAAGTGATGAAAACAAGGCACTTACTTTCGGTCTTAAATAGGCACCGCTACAGCTGCACTCAAACAAGGAACTCAGTTTTGGGTGCCAGTCTTAGTTGTGAACGGCACAAATAGGAAATGAAAAACGGCAGTTATTTGACGTTGGAAAGGAAATTGTCAAAACTATAGATTGTGTGGTGAACCCGTCCGCTCCAACCAACGTCCATACCTCGAACAACACCAGTGAATTCTTCGACAGTTTAAGAGCACAATTTCTCTGAAAGAAACTAATAAACTAAGTAGCTTAATTCTGTAACCAAAATTAAAAAAATTGAAAAAAATTTGGTCAAAAAAAGAAAAATCAATTTGTAGACTTTATATTGAATCACATAGATTGTTTTCAGTTAAATTTAGGAAACATCAAGCTAATAGATAGCTCTTTCTTGTGCATTAATTTCAATTTCTAAAGATTAAATAATAGTTAACAATCATTGATATGTCAAATAACAAATGGTCAAAAAGTGTACTTTATCTTAGTGGTCTGTAATATGCCTGTAAATGACTAAATTTAATTGACATTTATAGAAGTATGCTATGCAGTTTACTATATTAAGCTTTCTGATATTGTCTTCTTTATTTTACCAAATTGCTTCTTTATTTAATCATTAAAGACGTTATTTAATTGTCTGCTAAAAAAGAAAGACAAAAGAGAAAAGAGAAAAAACAACTGAACGAAAATCTAGTGATTGAAAGTTAGCAGACTGAAGTGTTTTACTTAAACGATATAGCTGTTTATTATTGACACGATACGGCACAAAAAGTCGCTAGGCAACTGTTTATTACTGTCATTATTGAGAGATATAAAAGTCAATTCTGATGTTAACTATTGTTAGCTTAATCTAATAACATTTCTTATTTTAATAGTTTGCAGTTTGTAAGACTATAACTACAGGTAGGCTTAGTAAGTTAAAGTTGATAATCAAGAGGAGCAACTAGTGACTGTTACAGAACAAATTGCAGTGGCGAATTTCGCTCTTACTTTGTTTTAACAGCTTATCCGACAATTTGCGTAAAAAAATGAAACCTACTTAAACCCTAGCAGCTAGTACAACTTACCAGTAGAAATTAATTTTAGTTTAAAATGTTAACCAACCAGGTTGAATAGATAATTCGCAAAATAAAAAAAATTTTGTTACATTTCAATACAGTTCTTCAATTCGAATAAACATTTTCTATCTACAAACTTCGTGCGAAAACGAAAAAATAATGGCTCTTCAAAGAGGTGTAGAAAGTATAATTGACAAACTATTTATTTTTACCCAAAATGGTCAAGTGTTTAAGAAAATAGGCAAAAGCGTCCGCTTGCGTCAGTGGTTAACGGTCGATATGTGTGTGCATAAATACTTCAACTCATATCAAAAAAGATAATGAAGATTTGTGCAGTTAATGATAATCGAAAACCACTTTTGCAGCTACTGTTGCTGTTACTGTTGTTACAGCCAATATTGAGGTTTATGCTTTTATCCTTTTCCTGCTGTTTCGGCCAATACTGAGGCTTTTTGTTTCCATTGCTGTTGCTGCGACTCTAACTGATAGTGCACCTTATGCTGTTTCTGATTCCGC